GTGGTTTGAAACCCCCCCAAACAGCGAGCGGACTTCGGAGGGTCACCGAACTTCTTCGTCCTCGGGTTCCTACTACAAGAATGTGAGGGGGAAGGGAGCGAAGGAAGAAGGAGCCAGTAGATGAGGGCAGATGGCATGCGGGGGAAAAGTCGTATCCGTGCTGGGCATAAGAAAAATTCTATAGTCCCTCTTAAGTAAAGAACTTTGACTGACCGACCAGCATCTCAGAGAGAAATGCGTAAACCTTTTAAAAAAATAAACACCACCTATTCAGACTTCTAAACAAACCTTTCTGTCAGCAGCTTATCCCCCTCCCCTGTTTGCTTTTTATTTCTTGAGGGAGCATTTCAAAACTATGTCTGCTGTCGAATTTTTTAAAAAGTTCCCTCAGTTATTTTTATTTTCTTTCCAGCAGAAAAAAGGGTTCTGTGAAACTGAATATCAGATCAACTGATTTTAACTTGGTCTGTTTCCGTCTGGATTTGTTTTATGTACAGTATATATAAGGGATCAATACAGTCTGGCTCTTTTTCTGTCTATGGAACTGGATATAAATTACAGTATATGGAACATCCTTAAGTGAAAAAAAAAACACCACACACACAAGCATAAATGTTTAACTGTTTAACTGTATACAGTACATACTTTCAAACAACAAGCTGCATTTTTGTGGATATAAATACAGTATTCAGAGATACTCAAAGGGAAATCGTGCTTGCATTGGGCTTCCCCATTTCGAGGTCCCAGTGACGGGTGTGGGTATTCCTCCTTTCCCTTTACATCAGTGGGTCAGCTAGTTTTGGATGGATTCGTGGGCATTTACTTAAGAGTTCACAGGGTGGGGATTCTGCAGTCTTCTGGATGATATGCCACTACAATTCCCATGTCCAACGCCAACATAGCCAATGGTGAAAATTAATGGGAGTAAATTTAAATGCACCGTTTAAAAAGAATGTATGGACCTTATTACGTAGACAAAATTCATGCTTATGTCAGTTACAAAATTAGATGTTCAGGAGCTTTTTGGTATCTTCCCCCTTCCCTCCTCGTGAGGAAGAGCCCTTGGAGTCCTGGAGAAATAGGGAGCTGAGACATGCCTCTGGGGCAGTTTGCTGAGTTCTGAGAAAAAGATTGGCTAAATTTGGATTTAAATTTATTTATTTATTCATTCATTACATTTAGTTCCCTTTATATTGATAAAGATACCCTGAGGCAAATGTGCCTGTCACTTTTTGGAAAGTGGCACAATCAGGTGAGACCATACCTATCTTGATTCGTCTGTTTTTAATGAAGACGCGTTAATCCCGAGTTCTACCGCTCCCCGGGCATTGCAGGTATTTTGTCAGGCAAACGCCTTCTGAAACCCAGGGTGTTTCCCTCCAGGCAGACGCAGATTTTCCTGTCATAACTAATGGAGTTGTGAGCCTTTTGTTCCAGCTTCTCTTTGGGTCTCCCCTACCTCCTGGATGCTTTCTGTAGGGAAACGTCTTTCTCTCACACCCTCAGGGACCGCTGTCCCTCCGGGAAAGCTTTCCTGTGCCCGAGGGGGGGGGGTGTCAAGGAGGAACCCGCCAGCACCCTCCCTCGAGGCTTCACAGGAGGAGGGATTAAAGAAGGAAGAAGAAGAGGAGACCCCNTTTGTCTCCCACTTGACAAGCCTTTGACGAGTTCCTGAAAGTTCCCTTTTATAAATCGGCATTTGTTGTGACAATTGGGAAAGACAGCTAGTGTTCTCTATAAACATAAGTAGATTTTAAAACGTGTGTGTGTGTGTGTATGTGTGTGTGACGTATGTTTCAGTCGGCTTAACTAAGTTTTCCAAGCGAACCGCTAAACCTCTGTCAGTGAAAGAGAGAGTGAGCAAGATAGGAAGTGTTTCGTATTTGAAAAGGCTGAATGTTAAACTATTTACCGAGAAATACGAGCTGTTTCCATTGAAGGGGAACGCTGACTGTCAACTGGACAGCTTGGTATAGAAGACTGAAAAAATGGGCAATGATGTTCCCGGGACTGGGACACCTGATGGTGACCGAAGAGGCAGACCTTCGAGTTACACAGGGTTCTTTAGCAGACAGAAGAGGAGATCGTTTCCTGGGAGTGTTTTTCTCAGAAACAGAGAATTGGCCTGAGAGAGTGATGTTCCACAATCCGTTTGCCGACCTAATTGACTACCAATCTCTTAATCAGCTCGTGTGTGAATAGGAAGCTGGCTCGGAGAGAAAACTGGGTGCTGGGTAAAATGGTTAAAAGAAGACTTACGGATAAGACGCCAACTCAAAAAAAAAAGGGAAGCTCTACATCCACTTTACAGTGAAAAAATCTTGAATATGGTGATAGCAGAACATTACCAGGGAAGATATAATGCTGGGGAAAATAATGGTTTGGACTTGAATCTACATCAGTGCTGGGTATTTCCCTGTCCAATGGATTTTCCTTTTTGAAAATACTGTTAGCCGTTTAGCGATATTTTTATTCCAAGTAAATATGGATCGAAGCCCAAGTCGCCAATCGTGGTGTCTCAGTGTGGGGAAAAACCAAGATGGCCAGTAAGGGTAATTTCAACGAGGTACCAGAACGAATTCATGAAAAAAGGTTTTAAGTCCCGTTGGTTTCAATGGGCACACTTCAGACTCTGCTTTAAGGACCTTCGAATGAAAAGAGCAAAGCCATTCCTTCTCATGCAATGCTCTCTCTCTCTCTCTCTCTCTCTGTGTGTGTGTGTGTGCGTGTGTGTGCGTGCGTGTGTGTGTGTGAGAGAGAGAGATGGGGGGAGCTAGGGAGATGGTATGTGGAAGGCTTTTCACATTTGCTCTTCTCTGAGCTGGTGACAAATGCTCCCTCATGAGACGTGTCAAAGTTCCCTTTTGCCGCCCATATTTCAAGACCCCCCGCCCCGCTTTCTTCACTTTTAGCCTTGATGGATGGATTGCTCTTAAAATTTTGGCTGGTCTCCTGCAGACGTGACAACGGATCGAGTTTTCTCCACCCCCGCCCCTTCTCCATCCCCTAGAAAATCGTGACTGGGTGAATCGTAGATACTGAACATTTAGAAAGCGGCAAAGGTGAGCCCCGTCCCTCACTTCGGAATACAGTATTTTCTATGCCGCAGAAGCAACGAATCCTCACAAACCTGTGGATTTCTCCCCCACACACACACACACCCGAAGGGAGCAGGGGCATTTCTTCCCTATTTTACACCTCATCTCCCTCCATAGACGAGGTCCCAGTTGTACCATTTCTTAACCGAACTGCAGTTTTCCCCGCGTGAAAGCGTAGGCTTGTTTTTAATCAAAAAGAAATCAGAACGTCGGCTTTAATTCTGGGGCAAGCTGTTTTCGATCGCCCTGGCTGGAGTTTCAA